CTGTCAGGTTTGCTTCCATTTGGGTCATATTGTACCTATAATTTAACCAAATAAAAATGCCTGTACAATAACTGTATGTAGTAGATACAGAACCACTTAAAACCACTTAAAACAATGTAAATTACTTTTATATAACACATTTCTTTTGTTTGTTTTAGTGGGTATTACCTCTCATGTACAATGTACAATACCTTGTAATCAGGGAACCTCAGGAACCGTGAAATGTAAACTTTGCTTGGACACCCCAACTTTTTTGTTGGCTGTATCAAGGTTCTCCTCCTTACAAACACATGGTCAAATTTCTGAAATAAAATCATATTATTGTATATAAAGTAAACTCTCTATTTAGCCTGCCTCTCAAATCAGTCCCCTCTCTAATAAGCCCCTCTTTAAGAGGAAGAAATTCATTAAGCCCCCCCCCCCACATTTACATTCATTTTTCATTTTTGGCTCCAAAATATCCAATTTCATATGGATATACAGTAGTCCCCCTCTAACTCTAACTCTAACTCCCAAGGGAAAACAAAATTTGTTTGAGTTAGCGAGGAGTTTGAGTTAAGTGGAGTAAATTACTATAAAAACATATCCAAGAGAAATTGGATTTAGTTCGAGTTAGCGGGGAGTTCAAGTTAAGCGAGTTCGAGTTGGCGGGGACTACTGTAATACATTATACATACAAATAACAATGCGTTATAATACGTACTATAAACACGTTATAATATAATTGTTAAACGTGGACTTTGTTTGGTTTTTGCAGAAAATCATCTAAGATTTTGTTGGTAACTAAATAAGCCCCCCCCCCCCTCTAATAAGCCCCCCTCAAAAGGACCTGAATAGAATAAGCCCCAGGGGGCTTAATATAGGGAGTTTACGGTAATCAAAATATTATTTAAGTATGTATAAAAATAAATAGAATGTATTTCATATAATATACCTTGTCATCCTTAATTTGTTTTCTTTTATTTTTTTGTGGTAAGTCTATATCAACACCTTGGTGGCAGTGAAATTGCATTGTCCCAGCTGACAGAATAGGAATCCCATCAAATTTACTGCATATCCCATCGTTCATGGCAGATACTGACCACTTTATTCTGGATGCATTCTTTGCCTCTTCGATAAGTTTCTTCACATCCATCTCTATATTAAAATCCATCCATATAAAAAGTCATATTATCATGTTATAGCACAAAACAGTACAAAGTTAACAGACTATAACTTTGGTGATTATATCAAATTGACTGTTTATAAGCCTGTATTCAAACATCTGTGTGAAAGTATGATTGACCTACATTGCAGTATCTAAATGTAAATTATGAGGGAATTCCGTCGATCTACTGCTGTCAAATGATGTGTTTGTTAATAGATCCACACGCTATTCGTATAAATTTGGTCGCTACTGTAGTACCGTATATTAATATGGTCTATTCTCATTTGCATGTTATGAATTATTGAACAGTTTACCAAACTTACCAAATTTTGAGTCTTTAAAGACGCAACGCCATCCAGTGCAAGTATCTTTCTTAAAATCTTCAAAAGCATTAAACAATTCATCCCTCGAAAGAAACAAAAACTGTCCTTCGCATTCACTTGAAGCGTCCTCCATTGTTGTTTTTAAATTTTCGCGCAATTAACTTCCCGCAATAATATGTAACCTCTGACGTCATTTTGGAAAAAATCTAAATCTAGCAACTTCCGGTCTTAAGAATTTTGACGTCACTGTACGTACGTTAACGCTATATGATCTAACGCCGACCGCCAGGGTATTTTCTCCAGCTAGGAGCGTAGAGGAAAGAGCCTGGGTACGAGGTTGTAGAAAGGGATGAAACCCCCGGCCCCGATCGTGAAATATTTCGAATGGATATAACTGGCGTATTTCTGAACCAAAACCTTTTATTTTTTGTATACTGTTTAGATATGATACACTTAGCATACCTGTACAAGGAAATTTTAAGAAACGGTTATTAAACCGAAATTTTTGGGACTACAATTTTGGCTTATTTTGTTTCAACGTGCACCGCAACAGGTGGTGACGGAAGTGACGTAGTTAGGCACTTAAAAGATATTGCGCATGACGAAAACTATTTTTCCAATTGATTCATATTATTAATCATATATATTAAATATATGACAAGCTCATACAGTATTTTTATGATTTATAGTATACAGTTTCAAAATAACAATATGCTCATATAAATTGTCACTCATTGAATTGTCACTGAATTGAATTCCCCTTGAATTTAATTGTCACTTATTGAAAGAATTGTCACTTATTTGATAATTCATACAAAGTCAAAGCCTACAAAATACAAGCCAAAATGCACCGGTATTTATACTACAAAAAGGTCTATATTAACCGAATTAACGAAACCGTTTCAGAGTTTATAAGTCTGCACACACGGCGAAGACGAGTTTAAATCGTGACCGGGTTTTGTAAAGACTGCCGTTTGGATTTATACAGTCATATTAAACAAAGTTCAAAGTCGTTGATATATTCACCGGTACAGTTGATCGATTCAAGAACAATTGTTTTAAAATTATTGAAAAGCTTTATACCGTCTAGACATAGAATAAAGATCCATATAGAAGGGCCACTTACGTCGGAAGCTTTGAAGTTTCTGTCCTCGCGCATGTCGCATTACGCATGTTGGCCGCCATTTTCCTAGCCAGTCAATGACATTTTCTGGCCAATAAACGCGCTGTATTGGCTGGCTGCTCCGCCTTCTGGCCAGTAAACTGCATATTTTTGCATAAAAAAATGAGGACATGTTGCACCGCTGAGTGGCCCTTCTATATGGATCTTTATTCTATGGTCTAGATACAAGAGCGTTTGTTGCTTTTGAATCGGGTGATTCGCATTTCTTTTAGTTGACAAAACGTTCCATATTAATATTGGACTAATTTGAGTTTGAATTTCGCAATATTTTTTAAAATTTGTTATTGCCATTCAAATTATTAACCGTTAATTCGATTAAAAGGTCATGAAAGATGATAGGTCAATTTTCCTTCAACTTCCGTTCTACTTCCGGTTACAATGTCGAATTTACATCCGTCACCAGTTGTTGCGCAACCTCGTACCCAGGACTAGTCGCGAATTGATGGCAGCGACGTAGCCCTGGTAAACGCTGGTCACGTGACTCCAACATTACGTAATTGTTACTTTTCTCAACCGGGGGGTGAATGTAGAGGTGAAACTCGAAGACAAACTCCGAAATTCTTCAATCTTCCCTATGAATTTTGCATTTCAAGCTTTTCTCAAAGTACGGCGATCGATCAAATGGATCAATACTTTCTGTAGAAAAAACTCAGTGAGATTTGTTCCAATGAGACGTTTAAAAGACTTGGATATGTCGCTCAAGACGTACGCTCGATCATTTGCACAGGTTTATGGTTTAGTACTTTGTTCAGTTTGTTGCGACTTGCGAAGCAAATGAATGCAAATTCAACTCTTGTATAATGACTAAAAGTTGGTTTGTAGAGGGACAACTTATACAAAAGATATGAATACTTGAGATCCAAACTAGGTACAAGTTCATGGACATCCCTATAAATATATGGACATTGATATTTCACCAATATGTAAATATGAAGTCATTAAATATATAAAAGGATTGCTGTTGTATATGTATATGTGCTGTGCTATTTACGTTTTTAACCCTTTAAGTGGCAATGCACCCAGATGCACCCCACTTTGTTAGTTTATTCTGTCTAATGCCAGACAATTTCACTTGTCAGGTGGAGAGTGCATGGCGCCACTCAATGGGTTAACATAGTCGATGAACATGCCAAATGATCCTTGACCGTGGTAGTACATTTTTGCACTTGCTGGATGATATCGCAACCAAGCATTGTTTCAGAGGAAGAGCCCCCGAGATCATGCTGTGTAGCAATTGGAATCTCGCATAGAGCCTGCTCTCGCATAAAGCAGGCAAGACCTTCTTCACTCAGAAGCCAGGATTAATATTAAATCCCCACATAAACACTTGGAAACCAGACTGTCCCATCTCCCATATGCAGGATAAAAAAACATGCAGCCTGGACTTTAACTGTTAAACAACCAAATCAGCATGATAAACAGTGTGATGATTTTTGCTTAGCCCAAACCAAAGCCAGTTTTCTAGAATTAATTTGCAGAATCCTAAGAATTGGACCTCCAACTTGAAGAGCTAGCTGTGCTAACCAAGTTGCATGAGCAACCCTGAATTGAAGTGACTAGAGCAAATCTTCAAAAAATAATAGAGAGATCAGATTTGACTTCCACTACTGCTATTGCTATCATTAACTAACAAGATAAGTTTCCAATTTATCCAATCAAACAATCGGAAGCAACTGCCAGATCAAGTAGTGGTACAGGTAGTGGAAGTCAAATTTGAACCTTTCTATATGGATTTCAGAGAGACCAGTCATTATTTGCTGATATATTATTATAACTTGTATAATATGATATTAAAAATTGATATAATTATCTATAAAGTGAGAATAATTTTAAAAAAGTATTCATAACATAAAATGATTCATGCATGCTGGTGATTGAATAAACCATGAAGTGTGCATTCTGAATCTCTACAAATTCCTTGACATTATTTTTCCAGTACAGTGTAAAACTATATAAATTAATGTGACACAGGTTGCAGGTATTAGGTTGCATGTCCACCAGTGTACGTGCTGAAATACCATCCAGTGACCCGGTCTTGTTCATTGTTACTTGCATCTTGCTTAATTCAACTGTTTTTGTCCTATTTCTTGTACCCATAAAGTTCTTTTCAATAATCTAGAAAACTTCAAAATCATTCAGTAAATTTAATTTAAAAATTTGGTGAAAGGTAAGGGGTCAATAATAGATGAAGAAACCATTTCTTCTTGTTCATGCATACATATGGCCCCTATCTCTATCAGGTGTTAGAGTAGAAATTTATTGAAGTCTTCAGAAAATAATTATGGCAACAAGGTTACACACCACACTGCATTGTTTCTTTAAAGATCTCAAGGGCACAAAAGGTATAAATGTAGATTGTAGGGGCAAGGGAACAAAATAATGAAATTTTGAGCTTTGAGGGCAGGTTTTACAATGGGGTGCTACCGTGCTAAACCTTTTCCCTAAAAAATCGCTGACCAGCAGGAGTGCTGAAACTGATGTTTGACTATTGAAATATCCTAGCAGGTTTATAGGTTCATCAGATTTTAGCTTTGTCAACCTGGCCACTCCGTTATTACAGTAATGGCTCATTTAAATAATTTCAAGTCATTTAATAATGGTCGTTGTAAATTTTAGGTCATTGTAAATGTAAACACAAAGTATTTGAAGTTTATAATACTGCTGTAAACTGTAGTTTAATAATACTGTAAGTGTAAACATGTTTCTCGCAGCGATAAATCAATATTGTAAATAATAATCATGTGAGAGTAGAACTTTACTGAGAGTCTGAGTATAGTTTTATAGGCCATAGTCTGGCCATGTGTTTCTCAATATTTAAACTACAATTGTACAAATTCAGCTAACTATATTAACATACTGTATAAAATATATTAAATAGCCTTCGAAATATATATTTCATAGAGCTAGTCAGTGTAACAAATAATGGGAATCTGCTAAATAATTTGTAACAATGAAATACTTCTAAACATTTTCGAATTCATACTGTACCTTTTACTTGATGGAAATCATCACAAATAGTGTGTACGAGGTTGGCTCCATTTTCACTGCTTAGAAATTCGAAACATCGCCTCCTCGGCGATTTATATACGATATAAAAGAAGATTTTTGTACATTCGACGTAATATATAAACGTAACATATTAAAAAGAAAGATTACAACAAAAAATAAAATAATATAAATAATCCGCGGCAATTCAAGTTCTATTCGTGAACTTTTCGTCGCCCCCCTGTCTTTATTTCCATAAAGCCCGCTCGCAGGCTAATACTCCAAGAATCTTGGAGTATTTGCCTGACACGTGACCAGCGTTTACCAGGGCTACGTCGCTGCCATCAATTCGCGACTAGTCCTGGGTACGAGGTTGGTTGTTGCGGTGCACATTGAACGAAAGATTTTCGGCGTTTCATCCCTTTCTTATTTATGTACGGGTTACACCCTCGGCATCCTTTCGTAAGATGTTCGGAAATTGTCGTTGCAATGCAATATGTTTGAATTACATGAAGTAGAAGGCATGATATTATCGAAAAAATAAAAATCAGCTAATTTTGATCCTTTTATGACTATGTCTGCGGATTGTTGTAATACAAATATGGGATATTGGTTGATGATAAGGTATTTATAAAACACAATCGTACTTTTCTGCCCCCTGTGAATATGGTATTATATTTAAAGAAAACAATGACAATCCTCATGATATTTGTTTTTAGGAAACAGGGATATTTCACTTCTGCCAGGCACATAGTTATTTATGCATAATTAGCAATTTACCTGGGGTTGCTGCATGGTCATTTTCTTGTAAAATATTATACTTAGACAAATTTTTTCTTCCACTGACCACCCTAGCCTGAAATGTCAGGTTCAAGCGGGGAGAACGCATGACATTTCAGGCTACTGACCATCCCTAAAAGCAACCCTTCTGAACACTATAACACTTCAGAAAGGCTATCGCTTTTCCTTTTCGGAAGTTACAGCTATGTCGACACTGCCGTTTCAGGGCGGGATCGTTTTCAGGAATTTTGTCCCAGATTCAGGTTTTGGCAAATATGCCATGTTGACTGCCATGGTCATTTTACCTGTGCTAAGTGAAACGCATACAAACTCATATACAGGTCCTAGACTATAATAAAACTTAGATTCCGAGCTCAAATTCCGAGCTCGAATTCCGAGCTCGATTCCGAGCTCGAATCCGAGCTCGAATCCTTGGCTCGGTATATAGTATATCTCTGTTTTGTTTACGTTTTAAAATCACAGCTGCAAGACGGGAAATTGTCCGTGTTTCCACACGCTTGTCGAGCAATCCCATGTGCCTATGCAGGGTGTATAAAAAAGATAATCGAACTTCAGCGTGCTATTGCATCTGAATTACGCTGCGTATGACCGAGATTTTTATTCGGAAAGATCAAGCTTTTAGCTGTTGAATGATACGTTCTTCATGCACAATGGTGACAAATGAGCAAATACGAATCCGATATAAGTGTTAGTCAGAATCGCATATATTCACCGTTGAGAGATGTGTCTAAAACCATTGAAAACTAACCCCCTTTAGGACTTAAGTTGACGAATTTCACATATATTCATAATTATTATCAAATAGGAATAAATCTTAGCTATGCTGTGACAAGCTCGTGATTAATTGCTTTTTCTTTTGTTGTGCACTGCTTTAATTAGGCACGGAGGTGAAAATATGCGATTCTGACTAACATTTTAATCGGACTCGTGCTTATTTTTTCTCCACTGGCATCAAAAACATGTCATTCAATAGCTAAAAGCCTGACTGTTCCGAATATGAAAACATTTTGTTCATACGCCCAAGTAATTCACGTATAATAGAGCGCTGAAGTTCGATTACCTTTTTTTTATACACCCTGTATGCAGCTTGTCTTTTACTTATAATTCTATAAAGTGAAACAGATATTAACACTTTGAAACAGTATCAAATTTAAGACTGAATTAAGAACAGTATGGTATTCTGTACAGCTTTGCCAGCAAATTATATTCAGTCAAGTATTCGTGAATAAAATATGCATCATTAATGATGGACTTCGTTCTTTTCATCAAGGAAAAGCAAGACAAACTTTTGTAGATTTCTCATCCAAATTGAAACAAATTTAACCAATTTGTCATTGACCTAACCGCCTTATACTCTATAGCCACGTTCTACAGATTTTTGTATTAAAATCGATTTATCCTGAATACTTCAAAGATTAATATTTCAACAAACACACAGACAAACTGAGCTTAAACGGGTAACTGGCTGGCGAAGGTAAATATGTTAAACAGAGTGTAATACGGTACGTGGCATCTCTTGTCCATCTTAAAAGAAAATACTTCAAATACATTTGTCTTCATAACATTTTGCTACATTTAGAGTATTATGTTTAATATTAAATTATATGTACATTCTCCCAATGCTATCATTTGCAAGCAACCGCAAAATCCAAACTTTTTTTTCATATTTGTTTACGTTTCAAACGTACACGTTGGGCGGGTCAAACGTGCATGTTGACACGTAACAATCAATTTGTTTGAACTGCGAAATAGTGACGTTTTAGAAATCTCGCCCATACGTTTGACCAACGCGAAAGCATGTTCAAGACCAGATATCATGCGTTTCACAACTTCACAACTTATACTTTCCTGATACAGCAATTTTCGTCCAAGCACAAACCGCAAACATTTTCGCGCGTTTGTTTACGTTTGAAACGGGGCGTTTACCGCTGGAAACTGAAATGTTTCACCGCTCATGTGACGTGTCACATTGAAAAGCCTTAAGCTATTTTTGGCGCAACTGCCATGTTTTGATGTGCCTTCGTGCACGTTTCAATATTTTCCGGCCCATGATAATACGTTCTAGTCACAAAAAGTATGAATATAAACAAGTTTGGTCGCTCTTACAATATTGTGAGCTTGGAAACACTGAAAAGTACACGAAAGCACATCAAAACATGAAAAATAATTGAATTAGGCTTTTCACTATAACACGTCGAATGAGGGGTGTTTCGAAAACGAAGACCTACGAAAACGAAGACCGAAGACCTAAGATGGGTCTTCGTAATTACGAAAACGAAGACCCACTACAAAAACGAAGACCCATCTTTGTTTTCGTACTACGAAAGCGAAGACCCTAAAATATTTATTTACATTGTTTTCGCGAAAATAAGCGTAAAAGTGTCGCGAAAAAATTCCGATAAATTGCTGGAAAAAATTAAGGAATAATAATATGTTATGGTATATATGTCAATATGATCAAGGAAAATACGATTCAGCAATAAAAATAGAATCACTAGAAACCTAAACCAGTATTCAATAAATCACTCAAGTATTTTTAATATAGTCAAAGATCAGACAAGTAACTAAATAATTTTAAAATGTAAAATGTTAACAACAGAATGTCAGAATTACAATTGCAAAATTTACAATGTTAACAAATATTCGACATGTATTTATTTAATTGCTGTACTATTGTCAATGTCTGGGCAAATCAGTTAAGTTTGAATCAGTAATACCACGGTCAATAGAACCACAGAGTACGTACATAGTACACACAGATGTCTCAGTGATTCAAGTTAATTTAGCGTAAGGGATTTTTCCAGTATACGCCGTGTTCTTAGGAAGTGCCCTAACGAGAGGTATAGTCAACCCCCTGAAAACATATTGAAATTTAAACGCTTATTTTCGCGAAAACAATGTAAATAAATATTTTAGGGTCTTCGTTTTCGTAGTACGAAAACAAAGATGGGTCTTCGTTTTCGTAGTGGGTCTTCGTTTTCGTAATTACGAAGACCCATCTTAGGTCTTCGGTCTTCGTTTTCGTAGGTCTTCGTTTTCGAAACACCCGGTTAGGGGGTGGGGGTTTAGCCTGCGAACAGGCCCTGTGTTACGGGCGGCGTGAAGAATAGAGGGCCTGCACGGAACTATAGGTTTTCTTGGTAGTGGCGTTCGTATACTGTATATATATCTGACCGTGTTTTAGTAATAGCTTCAAATATTCAGAACATTGTTCTTTCAGTCGCACATAGTACGAGTATTACTGCACATTCAATGCCAATGGTAATATTTTATTCGGCTTTATATTTGTATGTGTATTGATATCTATTTAATATTTGAAGAATTCTATATTTTTCCGAGTAATATATTGTGCGGCCCGCTAATGCTTTGTATTATTGTTCATATATACATTATGTATAATTGCTGCCGAAGGC